TAAGGCCTCGAATTTAAAACTAAGCCTCGTCAAACATGGTATTGAAGTGAAGATCCAACATGTGTGTGTGTGTTAAGGCAACATGTAAAAACATACTTTAAACATTTAAAGTATAAGACATTCCTAGCTCAATTTAGGTGAAAATCTCAAATGATGATAAAATGAAACCGCTCCAAAGATGACGCAACTTCGGGGTTACGTTGGGGACGACAAAGGCAATAATTAATCCTTTTGCAGCACCTCCAAAATCTAAACTCGAGCTCAAACAAAAAACAAAAAAATAATCCAAATGGAAAACCAATTGGATAAAAAAGCAAAGCCTTACCAAGACCAACATATCTCTCTTCTATGGCAAGAGGTGAATCACAAAGAAAGGCTCTCATATAGAGGAGATAAGAACTAAATCTAGAAAAAGAAAAAGGAAGAAGAAGAAAGAAATGGCTGCTGATATCTCTCTCTCATCCCTCACTTTTATACTAGGTCAAGAAAAGTCAAAAAGTCAACAAATGAGCCCTACAGGACCTTAAAAAGCAAAAATCGTCAAAACGCGCTCAAACGGATAAAACCTATGAAAGTAAAAATACCGGTATCGAAAATAATGAATAACAAAATTAACGGCATCGAAAAATAATCCCGAGTTGAAAACTCCGTCCGGAACCACACAGTGACCTCCCGAGTCATCCCTCACTTTTATACTAGGTCAAGAAAAGTCAAAAAGTCAACAAATGGACCCTACATGACCCTAAAAAGCAAAAATCATCAAAACACGCTCAAACAGACAAAACCTATTAAAGTAAAAATACCGGTATCGAAAATAATGAATAACAAAATTAACGGCATCGAAAAATAATCCCGAGTTGAAAACTCCGTCCGGACCCACACAGTGACCTCCCTAGTTGAAAAATAACAAAATGTTAAGATTTAAAATTATAATAAGTGGGTTGGCCAAGTCTGGAGAAATTTCGGTAAAATTTGACAAAGTCTCTAACAATCAAAGTCAGAATTCGACGAGATTCTAATGAAGTTCTGGTGGTTAGACTCGAGATTTCAAAGAGGTTCCGATGAAGGTTTGACAACAGAAGTAGGAAATCCAATTAGTTTTCTGGTAACAGTTTATCTGGTAACAACATGGAATTTTAGAAAGTCCACTTAGGTAATGTTTCCAACTTTTACATATATATATTGATGTACAAGTTTGAATATAATTTCTAAAATTATATTTTATTTTTAACAATAAATACAATACATGATTCGTAAATAGTGTCACTCTATGAACATACAGATTATTAAATATGACTTAATTGAATCTCAAAAGTAATGCAATTATTTTTATATTCTGATTGCATTTAGAAGAGACTTTACTTTCAAAAAACGATCCCGCACCTCTAAACCTAAATTTAAAATTATATATAATATCTTATTAGGATTTTAAAAATATTATTATTTATCACACTTTTAAATTTTTGTGATGATCTGCTCTAACAATTGTATATACTGTCATTTTTGTGATAGGCTCCAATGGTTTGGACTTTGGAGTAGCAAAAAGGGGCAGTTACGTAAAGACAAAAGGCCACACCACATACAGTAATATGAACAAGAAGGCAAGCCTAGAAGGTATGTCACACATGTCATTATGCCTCTCAGGTCCTTTTGACAAGTAGGAGGGAAGGTGTTGCTTTGCAAGCAACAGATTATTTTGTGTGTCAACCAGGGATTCCCTGCGGGGACCGTAACCGCCCCATTTATAACAACTTTGAAAATTATCTGGTTTATTTGGGTTAAAATAAGTTTTATTAATGAAAATCTTCTCGTCTCGTCCTGTCCGGTTATAATATGTAAATTATTAAATTATTATTATTTTATTAATATATATAATTAGTTTTAAAAATTTTATATCACATTCACTCATTTTTTTAACCGATCTAAAGAACGACGGAACTCTATAAATTAAAAACGCTCGTACTCTTAAATTTTGTGTTAAATTATTGATAGTTTGTTTTTTATTAATTTTTTTAATAATTATATAATTATATTTGAAAAAAAAAATTTAAAAATGAGAGAATTTTTGGAACTAAATTGACGCGTAATCACAGGGGTAAAAAAATTAAACGAGATGAGATAGAGTGAAAAGACCTCCGCTTAGATAGTTTTGAACAAAAGGAGGACAGGAGTTTCTAAACGAGAGAAGGTGTACCCGCTCAAAACCGTCCCCTAACCATCCCTAGTATACCCCCAAAAGATTCATGAGACTTTTTAAGTTACAAAAATCTGAGGATGCCATAAAAACTTGAAGAAATTGCCTCGTATTGCCAGTGTTCAACCCTGATAGATTGGACCATCAACTTCAAGAGTCGCCATAAAACTGCCACCTGTTCCTATGCACCATGCTGTACCTAATCTACGGAAATGGTCACAAAGTATTAAACGGAGAGGTAACTTGCACCGGCACCCTCCAAGTTTGAATTAAAGATAAATAACTATAATTTAAATACTTTTAGGACAATAACAATCTTTAAATTTGGTAAATTAAATAATAACACCCTTAAATCTAGATAAAAGTATCTTATTGTCATTTGACTTATGAATTGACTTATTTAAATCTTGAATTTATTATTTTAACCTTCTCAAAGTATTTTAATTTTGTCCATTAGAATGTTTGTGAACAAGTTACATCCTACATTTTACACGATATCAAATTAATTATAATTTGTCGACAAAAAGCACTATGTTCTCAAAATGAACAAGTGATATTACTCTTCAAAGAGGAATAAACAATTGCATTGGTTAGATGCAAATTTTATTAATTTATAGAATTATTAAATATTAAATTGACATTGAGAAGTGATGGAGAAGATAATAACATCATCATTTTGACACAACTTTCAGTCCACATGTTTAATAGCAAAAATCAAATCCGTAACAAACCCAAAAACCATATAAAAAATAGGCAATTAATATTTTCGTGAATATGTAACATTACTTATAGCAGTATGTAATATATACTAATTATAATAATATTATAAGTTTATTCTAAAGTTTAGCTATATGAGTTTCTTGCCAAGAAAAAAACAAAAAAATACTACCTACAATTAGGTGGTTCTAAGTCTTTAGTTATTACCAATAAATAAATTAAAAAAAAAAAATCTTTAGTTATTGTTCAATTATTATAGATAATTTAGGACTTATGAGAGTTTATTAACAAATAAATATCACATAATCCTGAATAATCAAAAGAGTGTGGATATATTGTCTCCCCAAGGTCAATGATCATAATTATCAAAATAAAATTGTAGTGTGAAGATTAATTTTGTTCATTAAAATGCTCTGAGAAGGTTAAAATAGTAAATTTATAATTTAAATAAGTCAATTCATAAGTCAAAGGCAATAATGTATTTTTACCTTGATTTGGTATGTCATTGTTGAATTTACCAAACTTGGAGGGTGAGATTGTTCAAAAAGTACCTAAATTGTAGCCACCTGACTTTAACCCAAAGGGGTTTACAAAGTATGTGTATACATAATATATAGAGAGAGAGAGAGAGAGAGAGAGGATTGCCAATATAATCATATAAATACACATATGTAGCCTCCTTGTCTGGAGGGCTTTAACTGATGGAGGCAGAGTTTGTCAGTAACACAACAGGGCAAGTATTCACTACAAGGTCAAAATGATTTGATAGTTCAAAGGACTCGAGAATTAGCAATACTTGGCAGCTCTGAGTACATCCTTCTAAAAATTGAAAATTGGCAATGAAATTTAACAGGCAGTGAAAATACCAAAATGAACTGGTAGCGGCAATCAGAGAAAGTGGGGCTACACCACACTAACCATTAAATATGAGATTCAAAAAGGCAAAAAGCATAGGGCAGCCAAACTTAACAAAGCAAGCTCCAAATATTTCCGATGACAAGCTCCTATTGAACCCCATTTATCCTTTCCAAATACAATAGTTTAGGGCCCAAAAAAGAGGGAAAAGAATTATCTGCAGGAAACTGAAAAGTTTGAGCCAGTAAAAGGAAAATGTTATTCTTTACAAAACAAAAAGACAAAGCAAAAAATAAAAAAGAACAAAAACAAAACAAAAAGAAAAAAACAAAAGGCAAAAGGGGGACCACAGCAAAAAGGATACAAATTGTAGAACAGCCTAAAAATTAAGCTATGTTTTCGAGTTTGTATAAAAAAACAAATTACCAAACAGCATCAGCAAAGAGTCCTTATTTAATCAAAAGACGGGAGCATCATCAACAGTCCCATATTTATTACGCATTTTTTTTTTTTTTTTAATTAAAGGTGCGACAGCATAGCTGTCTAAACTCTTGAAAGAGGTCATTCAAATGCATTACTATTTTCAAAGAAGTCCCACAAATTTTTATTTAGAACACTCAACTCACTTCTAGAAATAAATTTAAGAGCGAGCATAACGTACACAGATACGCCGCTGAATGGGGCTCCTACAGGAAGGACATTCCTTCATTCCTTGCTTCTCATGGAGCTCATTGCACGTTGTGCAGACCACCTGATGGGCACATGGGAGAAAAACTATAGACATCTCCTCTGAAAGGCACATCACACACTCCCGTTCCCGTTTCACACCTCCAGTTGCTGAATGGTCATGGAAATTTGATAACATTCTGGAGGTATAAGGCATCTGGGACTCCTTGGGATGTGGAGCATTTCTGATATCTGTCAATCTGCTAGCATAACTTCCATCAATCCCTCTTCTTAGAGCAGCTATTTTCGAGGAGTCAGTCTTCAATCTCAATTGGGAAATTTCTTTCTCTAGCTTCTCAATATCATCTTTGTACCTTTGCAGATTGTTTTCAGCTTTCATTTTGATCATATCCTCCTTTGATTTTGCTGAAGCTTCGATTTGTTCTCTTTCTTTTCTTATTGAACTGGCCTGAGTAATTAATTCTTCCTTTGCCTTCTCTTCCTGCTTCCATCTAGCCTGTGATAATTTACGTTTCCAATGAGAAGGAACCCAGTTGGGCAGCTAGGAAACATGGGCATAAAGTGAGAATGGCAGAAATGCAAATGTTGGGATGCATGTTCAGCAAGACAAGAAAGGATAGAATTAGAAAATGAACACATTCACCAATTGGAGATAAAATTAGAGAATATCGACTAAGATGTTTTGGATGTGTGCAAAGAAGACCATTAAGTTGCCAGTTAGGAAGAGTGATGTGGTCTACACTAAGAGGGTAATACTAGGTAAATGGGAAGACCAAAACGTGGGTAGAGATTTAATCTGTGTGTGTAACGTGGGTAGAGTTAATAAGGAATGATATGATAACATGTGGTTTGACTGAGGCTACGACCTTAGATAGAGTGGAATGGAAAAACAGGATTCAAGTAGAACCCAAGTAGCAGAAAAAGATTTTGTTTGTTGTTGCTGTTTTACTAAGAAAGAACCCAGTAGTAAAACCCATAATTTTAGGGGTTGAACAGTGTGCTTCTGTGACAGCAGGAAGCATTCACACTTTCTTCTATTAATTTAAAATTTTAATTTACTTTCTTACACTTCAAAGTTTGTCTCAAATTCTTAATAAAAAATGTCCCTAAATCTCAAATCATACGTCCTGTATTTCAAAAATCCACTTCTAATACATATTTTTAGTTTCCTTTATACAGTATTTAAATATATGCTTCTATTCATATTTCAAGGTTTCATTTCGCAGATATTTTCTCATCACCAACTACTGAAGACATCTTGAAATCATTTTAAAGCACAAGGTAAATAATGTACATCGCATTAGTAGTCTGGATGCGCATTGGAACAAAATGAACATTAAAGAAGAACTGTTTTAGTAAAGCCTAAAATATACCAAGTATTTTGAAGTAATTAAACCTAACCAAATAAATTCAGAAAAAAATTACTAACAAACAAAACACATGGCAAGGCAACAGAATTGGTATCTTTGCTACTACATGACCGTTACTCTTTTAGTGAGAAAGACATTGAAGGTATGTCATGATTATCAGGAAAAAGAAAGTGTCTGGTCAATATTTGACTCACTTCTTATGAAGAACATGCATGTATATCAATTATCACACGCACATGTATATCATCTAAATGTTCCATCTCAAATAAACTCAAAAAAGGCTTAAATCCCATAACTTCAGGTGGACTACATGAATAATTTCCATCATCTAACTCTATCTAGGGGGGATGTTCATCATGTATCATTTTTATCTTTGAAACGTCCCTCGCGTACTTATTGTACATTTTATGTGCCATATAGAAATGGAATACCAGAGGATCATAGGTTCAATTGAGAAAACTCCTACGCAGAAATCAACCTGAGTGGCCCTTCTTCACTGCCTTTAAATTCCTTCCCTGGAGTGCTGCTAAATAACTGATTGTCCAAAGTATGAAACAAATCAAAGTATTTTTAAAAGAGCCTCTCAGGAAAATATGTTGGATCCATTCACTGCACGCGTCATATAATTGTTTGACTGACCCAGTAATTATGAAAGCAATCGTGTTTACCTTTAATCTGTTTGAATGCAAACTGTAAATCATATTGAAAAGACAACTTAAATTATTTCCGTAAATAATTTAATAAATAAACAAATGTAGAATCCAATTTGGAATGAGCATACCTCAAGTTGATCTTGGAGATCTTTAGCTTGTTCCAGTTCTTGTTGCAGCTTTGACAACTTATGTTTTTCAGCTACAAGCTCCTCCTGAAACAAAGCCTTTTGCTTTTCCCATGACTGAAACTTCATCAGTGTCCTTTTCTCTCTCTTCGATACCTCCTGACAGCTTGCAGCTGACTCCGACGCTCGTAATTTAGCAGCCTCCATCTCTTGCCTCAATGCAGCATTCTCCACCTCAAGCCTCCGAACAGCAGAATTGGCATGCTCCACCTGTCCACTAGCCTTGAACAAGGCATTCTCCATCTCAGAGAGCTTCTTCATGGTGTTCTCCTCTAAAGTTTGCTTCTCTTTCTTGAGCCTCTCTACTTCTTCCTTCTCTTGTTTCAGTGTCTTAAGCTCAGCCTTGTCTTTGCTCAGCCTACGAGCAGCCTGCATAACCTTCTGATTCGCCCACTCTGTCCACTCTTGTAGCTGATTTTGCAGCTCCTGTACCCTTGGAACTAACTTCAAAATCATTTCATCCTTGTTGTCCCGTGGGACCCACTGCCCCAGGGACTTGTCATCTGGTAACCCAGCGTAACTACATTTTGAAGCCTCAGGTTTACTAGTGACAGGCATCGGAACAGCACTGCTTTTTGTAGGAAGTGAAAGAGAAAGCTCAGTATCAGCAGCTGATAATGCAGGTGGGGCATTGACTGTAGGTAATGTATATGGAACAATGGTTTTAGGTAAGGTAGAAACAGATTTAACAGGCCCAATATATGTTGTCAGATTACTGTTTCCATTATCCTGAGGCAATTCAACTCCAATCGCCCTACTTATCTTCAAGGAGGCACTTTTTACACAAACACCAGTAGAGTCTGAAACAGACTTTGATTTCTTATCCAAAATTAACCCATTAAAAAGTTTTCCTGCTCTAGTACTCTTAGAACCATATGTGCGGTAGTTTTTCTCCACATGAAGCGACTTCTGTCGAGGTATATATTCTCTCCTATTAATACCAGAAATCTTTCTACTGGCCCCAAACCTCTCTTCATGGGCAGGAGATGGGGATGTTCCTGCAACACCAAAGGATTTATCGATGGTATCTGGTACAGAGTTCAAATTCTCTTTCTCTGAGACAAGTCCATCCTGAACAATGGAACTTTTTTGACTTCTCAAGTTTGGAACAGCTGCTATGGTGGGTGTCTCTAATTGAGAATTATGTGCACAAGAAATTGAATCCATGGTAGCTGTCTCAGATTGACAATTATGTGCACAAGGAATTGAAGGATTTGGTTTACATGGATTTGGAAAATTGAGTTCAGAACTTTTAGCCTCAGTTTTCATCTGGGAGTGCACAGAAAAAGTGGAACTCCCATTTGGAGCCCCATCACCAAATACGTTGCTCAGGGGATCAGCATCCATTGCACAAGCATGTGACACATTCATGTCACATATCAACAAGCACCACATTGCATCCCCAGTGCTGAAAAAAGGTCTAACCTCTCGAAGAACACAAACCAACTCTGCTAATACATATTTCTGCATCTGTTGTAGATCCTCAAAGTAGTGCTCCCTTGAAGGATCGATCTCTTGGCCATTTCTAAGAAATGCTAAAGTATTGTCCACTATATTTGACACGGTGTCTTTGCACCCATAACAAAGACCAGATCTTAAAACAGCCTTTATTGCAACCTCTTCACTGTAACCACAAGCAACTATTTTTTTTATTGCACTTTTGAAAATTGTTTGCAAGTTGCTTAAAACAAGTTCTTCAAGCTGGGATTCTGTAAGATCACTCCAATTAGCGTCATAGAACTCATCTTTTGCTTCTATTTCATCTCTAGACCGGCTTGGTCCTAACTCAGATGACCCTACGGCACTAGACAATCCAAGGTCAAGTTTCAAGGCATCACAATGGTCTTGGACCTGTTGTTTAATGCTACACATGTCGCACCCACTCGGATGTCCATGATTTGGGGTGATTTCAAACTTCCCAGCCGAGAATTCATAACTCGAGCATTCATTCTGAGGCAAAGTAAGAATCTTATTTGGATCACCGAGAGGTGGATCAGCCCGAAACTTTCTCTTATTCCTACTTACTTTTTCTTGGAGCGAGATAGCAGATGAAAGTTGACTAGTACTACTACTGCCACTGGCCTTAGCAACCATTGAAGCCATTCTAAGCTGCACAATAGAATATCCTTCAATACCTCACCAAAATTTGTTGACAATATCTGATAAATCAAGAGAAACAAATCTCTCTGTGTGCGTGTGCGTGTGCGTGTGCGTGTCTCAATAAATGTGAATGTATACAACACTAATAACCCAATTGTTCCATGTAATCAAGACAATTAAAATTAAAAAGAAGGTTCAGATTTTCATCCTTAAGAGTATCCAAAACCAGCTCATAAATTCCAGCCACTTATAGTGGATACAAATAACCATTTGATCCCCGTAATTGATCATTCCATTAAAACAACACTTATAAATCATACCTTGTTTTCTCAGGTATTGGAATCTATGAACTTAATCAAAATTTCTGCATCAAAAAACAAAATTATTAATAAAAAAAGGGATACCCAGAAATGAAAATTCAATAACGGATACATTTTATTTTTCCAATGAATCAGACTACCTATCAGGATCAAAATCAATACACAGATAAGAAAAAACCAAACAAATATACCAACAAATATGCAATTAAAGTGTCTATATATAGATATATGTACATAGAAGATCCAAAATAAAAGTGAGGAATTCGAGATTTCATGAAAATCGTTCAATCGAGACTTACCCGATTTGAGCTACGTCTGAGCAATCAAAGGTAGGATAAATCTCAGAGAATCGGAGAAGCTGGAGACAATCGATACTTCTTCTCGCTTTATATTCTTTCTGCTTAGAGCATTGAACGTCTCTCCTCTCTCTCTCTCTCTCTCTCTATTCTCTCTCTAATTTTGGAGAATTTTATTTATATTTTGGGTGTCAACCAGACCATTTAACCATGGTTACCTATGTATGCATTTTGGGTTTGATCAGGGTTAAAAAAGGGGTATAAGAGGCAATTTGGATAAACACTAGTACATATTTTCTATTATAATTGCTCATTCCAAATAAAATATCGTAAATCAGTACTTATTTATGAAAAATCATTATTTTTTGATAATCTGTGAAATTTTCACAATATTACAAATAGTCATAAGTTATACAAGAGCTTTTGAAAAAATAAAAATAAAAAAAAATAAAAAATAAGGGGGCCAGAGAGAGCAGGAGAAAGTTGTTATTTTTCCTCAACTATAAGTCATGGAAGGTAAAACTTGACAAAATAGATTTTACCTTTTAAAATCATATAAATAAATTTATACAATATTAGCATTACATAGGCTGTTTCGAAAACTACACTTGACCTTTAAGTCACAATAAAACAATTTTACGTAATGTTTAAGTCACAATAAAACAATTTTATTATTGCGTCAAGACTCATCCTCAACATAAGGTAACGTCCATTGTCAAAGCCACGATTTTATTATTTCGTCAAATTATATATAAATTAATAAATTTATCCCAAGGACATTTTTAATAGTAATTCTTCTACATTATCCAAGTATGTTGCTTTAACCTAAGATGATGTGCTAAATTAAGTAGTAAAAATCTTAAAACTTTAAATGCTAACGTTTTTAGGTGATAATAAAAAATTGAGATTCCTTTTTATATCTTTTCAAATTTTAAGCATTCATAGTTAGGGATAAGTTAAAGGGTAGTGTGATCTTGGGGGCTAAAAAAAAATACTGTGGCGCTCCACCCATTCTTTCCTTAAATTGAAATTACAAAATTAGCCCCAATCAAAACATGTCTATCATCTCACTCCTCTTTGCTCTCCTTCTAAACATCTTCACCAAACCCTAATATTTCCTTCATTTTGTGGCCTCCTACCAAACTCTAGCATTTCCTTACTTTTATGGAGCCCTAATTAGATACATTTAGTTTTAATCTTAATAGAATTCTCTTTTTATTTTATTTTATTTTTTCAATTTGCCAATTCTATGAACGTTGCAATTTTATAAGACCCTTGAAACTTTGTATTATTCTATGATTGGCTTCTCATTTGTCTTGTATGTATATGAGTGGAATATTGTAAAAGTATCAACAATTATATGAACAACAATGGAGCTGATTTGACATTCAAATTTCTAAAAAGGAAGAAGATAGAAAAATGAAAATTAAAGTGAGAAGTAGAGAGAGGAATCCGATTTTAACAAGTTAAATATTTTCAACAAGGCAAAGTCAAAAAGTTGCAATATTTATAGTATGCTCCTTAATAATTGAAATGATTCGAGAGTGTGAAGAGGAATCGGACCCATTAGCGAAAAAAATGGGTTGCAAAGATTTTTGATGAAAGATACGACGAGAAAAGAAGAGAAGTGAGAGGTCTTGAATCTCCTTAAAGCCTAAACAGGGGCATTTTAGGTATTTTATTTTATTAAAAATATTAGTGGAGTGTTAGAGTACAATTTTGGAACTCCAATACCACCACCCTAATTGAAATCATTATCACTTTAAATTTATGCCATTTTAAGTGAAATTTATCTTTTTAAGTTATATTCAATTATGTTATCAACACACTTTTGAAGTAAATAAGTACTTAATTCGTTCTAAATTAAATGTTGAATTGAATTATAAAAAAGAATCTAAATGAGGATTAACTTATTTCTTGATAAATATATGGGAAGACTCACAATGAAGGATAGGTTCTATTAAGGAGAGAATCGACATGTTCTGGAACGGCGGTGTTTCCTACAGTACAACAAGAATGACATCACTTCATATGACACTGGTGTGGTGCCGATTGAGGATTCTTCGATAATTAAGTCAGTGATCTAAAGGAGTAGTAGAGTACTGTATTTAATGACAACAATATTTTTTTCACTTACGTCATTTATTAGCCAACCTCGTATTTATTGCAATACTAGTGATCTGAGTCGATTGAGAATATGAGGCTTATCTCCTTTAACAAATCTTTGAATGGGTTGATCATCTCTACCCACCAACAAACTAATAAGGTCAAAACCATCTCCATCTCCATCTCCATCTCCATCTCCTGGGAGTTAGGATTTAAAACAAATATCATCCTTATCTTAGTTAGTCAACACAATCAGTCAATGCGGAAATAATATTCTATATCAGTTATCCCAATTTTCGAGTTTGCGACGAGCAAGGAAATACCAACTAATTGTCAACAACTTTTTTTATTATTTTATTACTTTATATATTTATTTATTTGATGATGAAGCCTGGATCAAGTTCCCAAGGTATAACTTTGTGCCTTGGGAACTCATTTTCTTGAGGTACAAGAACGATCTCGTTGGATTCCCACCAGCAAGGTTCCAAATATTATTTTTTAAAAGAACTTCCTTTCAGGAGTCCTATTGGGATTTGTTGGTCCCACCTTTGAATTAGGGTTTGTCCTTTTAAATATCAAAAAGCTGTTACAGGTCCAATTCTTAGAGCCTAAAGTGTTTCTGGTATACTTATGTATTACAAAGATTTACAGGGGTAATATTATCATTTTACATTTATGAGATATCACTTGAGATAGTTTAAGAAAACTACATTGTGTTGACAGTGCTCAATACAGGCAAATTAGGGTTTATAGGACTGGTTTAGAAGATGGTATTTGGTTACAGAAGGATTCAGGGGAAAAATGGCCTTTTTACTCATATATCACATCATTTTACACTTGCCTGGGATACTACATTGTATTGCATTGCTCAGAAATTCAGTTTGATCAAGTGTTTACAACTGTAGTTTCAAAATTCTGTATATATTGACAAGTGTCTCTTTTAGGGGTAATTTAGTCATTACAAATGTTGATCATCTGTGTGACACGTGTCATATGGTCCTAGTGTGAGAAAATGAGGCTTGGTATGTATTTCTAAGTGATTAAGCATGATATATATTGATAATATTCTTATATACACAAGTTGTCATTTGCATGTGCACTAGAGGACAAATGAGTGAGCTGGGCATTGTGGTCCTTTTACTGAGAATATTCTTTGGACAATCATTGGTAGATGGTGCCATGTGTATTTCCTCATTAGGGTAGGAATTTAAGGTCAAGGTTCACTATATATATCATATTATAGCATTGTGCCTCATTAAGCTTTGAGTGAGCACATTTGTGAGCATCAATGTGACCTATATTGTGAACATACTCGAGACACCAAAACAATAACCATTTCCTGATTTTTTGAGACCTAATTGTGAGCTGAATTCACCTTAGAAATGTGTATTTAGTGTATGAGTACTTGATGATGATGAAGATGCTTGGTTGTAACCGTTTTCTAGTGCAAGAAGGCCTGGTTTAAGTAGTCTAATTTGTTCCACCCATTTCCAGAGGTGCACAAGGTCTAAGGAAATTTTGGTTCACTTTTTTAAATTTGCAGAGTGCTTGGTTATGACCATTTTATTGTTATAGTTTCATTTGATATCTCAGACCTATGTATATGCCTATTTTATTGGTTTAACTTATTGATTTGAACTTATAATCATTATATCTTGCTGTGAGTTGCTCTATTATTATCTTAGCAAGTTTTTATGGATGAATCAAGTCTGTTGAAGTTGATCTCTACACAGAATTATGGTTATTTGAGATTTTGATCTTGCAAAACCTTAGTTCTTGAAGCTTGCTGTTATATAAGGCCTGTTTATGGACGGTGATTCTATATACATGCTATATTCATCTTGATTATCATCTGAGCATGTTTATATTGAAGATATAAAGCTGTAGAATTCATCTCTTGGTCTATGTAAATTCAAATTTCCAATTTTACCCTCAGACCATAGTTTTTGCAGAATGAAGACTGTGTGCTGTTAGTTGCTACTTTGAGCTGTGTTTTTCACTCCTTTCATTTGTAGAAGCTAAAGTAGAGTTGTTATTTATATCTTTTATGTATTTGGTGAGCTGTGAGAGCTCAGAGGGTCCAAACAGGGGTGCTTAGGACAGGGGGAGTGCTGTTGAGCACCAAATGGAGTTAGTGTGTGTGTAGAGGCTGTGAAATTAATGTTTCAACTTGTACAAGGGTGTGTGCAGAGTGTGAGACAGTTGAGTGTGTAACTACTTGCAAACAACTAGTGGATTTGCATCAGTTGAGGCCAAGAACCAAGGTTTTTGATCCTTACTGAGAGGCGTTTTCCTTGTAAAACATTTTTGCACTAGTTGATGGTTGTGAGGTTTTACAAATAGTTTTATTTGCCATTATATTGATTCTGAAAGTTAACTAAGTGTTAAAGAAGATTTTGAATAAGAACCAATTCACTCACCTCTTGGTTCATCAATTGGTATCAGAGCTTTGGTCTGCCTATTGAGTTTTTAACCAACTTGTAGAAGATCTTCTGCAATGGATAAAGGTCAAGTCACTAAAAAAGCACTTTCCAACTATGATGGAAGCTTTTCTAATGTCACAGTCTTATGATGTTTGGCGTGCCACAATGTTTGTTATTGTTGTTCTTAATCCATACAACCCCTCAGCTGATGATAATGAAACTTTAGAAAATGATGGCAAAGCAAAACAAGCTCTCGTCTGTGCTCTCAAGTAACAAGAGTTCACAAGGATTAAAAATTGTAAAACAACCAAACAAATGTGGGATTCTCACAAGGCTGCTCATGAAGGAAACAATGTGATAAAGGAGAATAAAATTCAGCTACTCAAGGTTTAATATGAAAGCTATAAAATGGAGGAAAGGTGTAATACCCCTAATTTTTTAGAATTTATTTAATTAATTGCATTTTTATTTAATTATGTTAGCTAATTGCGTATGTGTATTTTGTTTGAGTTAATGTGATGTGTTTATGTAATTGATTTGCTTTTAGATGTTTCATTGTGCTAGTTAAATGATTTGTTTATTTTATTTATTATTTATGGATTTGTGTTGTAGCACATGGA